CAAAGGAAAGTGTTTCGGCAGAGGTAGAGGTGGCTACAACAAATCAAATGGTAGAGGAAACAAAATCGAAGGAGACGTGTCGAATCAAAGAAGACCATACCAAGGCAACCAAAGAGGTGGTGCTGCAAATAGAGGAAGAGGTGGTGGTCGAAAACCTGATAAGAGTCACATTCAATGTTACAATTGTCAGAAATATGGACACTATTCGAGTGATTGTCCAGAAAAATGAAAGAATCAAGAAAGTGATGCAAAGCTTGTAAAACATGAAGAAGAAGAGATGATGCTGATGGTCACAACAAGAGATGAAGATAGATTCAAGGACCAATAGTACTTGGATTCAGGATGTTCATCACATATGTCTGGAAGGAAAGACTGGTTTGTCAATATAAAGCCCTCAAAGAAAAATATGGTAAAATTTGCAAATGACAATACCCTGGAAGCTGAAGGTATTGGTGATGTTATGATTATGAGGAAAGATGGCAAAAGGTCAGTAATCTCCAATGTGATGTACATACCAGGCATGAAGAGCAATTTGCTCAGTATAGGGCAGTTGGTTGAAAAGAATTATAAAGTGTCAATCGAATATAAGTTGATGAGAGTGGTTGATACAAATTGGAGAGTAATCTTGAAGGCTTCTATGTCTCAGAATCGAACCTTCAAGATTGAACTAAATGTGATGGAGCACAAGTGCCTTTCGACTGCAGCTAGCAGAGATGAATGGATATGGCATTATAGACTAGGTCATCTCAACTTCAGAGACATCAGAGATTTGAAGAGAAGAAATATGGTTTCAGGATTGCCAGAAATTAACACTCCAAACGAGGTATGTGAGGAATGTGTGCAGGCGAAGCAACACAAGAATAGCTTCAGCAAGGATGCAGGAAGCATATCGAAGGCTAGTCTTGAAGTCATATACTCTGATGTATGTGGACCAATCCAGGTGGATTCGATGGGAGGTAACAAATACTTTGTTACATTCATAGATGATTTCAGTCGAAAGCTATGGACTTACCTGATCAAGAAGAAAAGTGAAGTGATCGAAGTATTTACCAGGTTTAAGTCTATGGTCGAAAGACAAAGTGGTCGAAAGCTCAAAGTTTTGAGAACTGATGGTGGTGGAGAATATGTGTCGAAAGACTTCGACAGATTATGTGAAAAGGAAGGGATTGTGCATGAGGTGGTGCCACCCTATACTCCATAACAAAATGGAATTGCAGAAAGGAAAAATCGAACCATCATGAATATGGTGAGAAGTATGTTGAAAGGCAAGAGTTTACCTAAAGAGTTTTGCGGTGAAGCTGTTTCGACTGCAACATACATTTTGGACAGATGTCCTACAAAGAAGCTAGAAGGAATTACTCCAGAAGAATGTTGGTCTGGTGTGAAGCCTAGCTTGAGTCATCTGAAGGTATTTTGATCTATTGCACATAGACATGTGCCAGATCAGTTGAGAAGAAAACTTGATGACAAGTCAAGTCAAATGATCCTAGTTGGATATCATTCGACAGGAGGCTACAAGTTGTTCGATCCAGAGAACAAGAAGATTGTGATCAGCAGGGACGTGATCATAGATGAGTTTAAAGAATGGGATTGGACTGCAAATGTCAAGAAAGATTCAGTGGGAATCCTATTCGAAGAGCCAGAAACTCAAGTCAAAAGAGAAGTTCGACAAGAGGAACCAGCAGATATACCAAGTACAAGCAGACCTCAAAGAACAAGACGCATGCCTGCAAGATTGCAAGATTGTGTGATTACATCAGATGATGTAATAGATAATGAAGGTGAGCTGGTACATTATGCTTTCTATGCAGATGTCGAACCTGTTAATGCAGCTGAAGCATTAAAAGATTCGAAGTGGGTGAAAGCAATGAACGAAGAAGTAAAGTCTATCGAAGACAACAACACTTGGTCACTTGTCGAATTGCCTCAAGGCAAGAAGGCAATTGATGTCAAGTGGGTATACAAAGTGAAAACGAATTCGAAAGGTGAAGTAACTCGACACAAAGCAAGACTTGTGGCGAAAGGATTTCTACAGAAAGAAGGAATAGACTTCGACGAAGCTTTTGCACCTGTTGCTAGGATCGAAACAATCAGGTTGGTTGTTGGTCTAGCAGAAATAAACAGTTGACACATATGTCAGATGGACGTGAAGTGTGCATTCCTAAATGGACCCTTAGATGAAGAAGTCTATGTTAAACAACCAGTTAGGTTTGTGAAACATGACGAAGAAAGAAAGGCGTACAGGCTACATAAAGCCCTGTATGGATTGAAACAAGTTCCAAGGGCTTGGAATAAGAAAATTGATAGTTTTCTAAGGGAGAAGGAATTTGTGAAGTGCACAACTGAACATGGAGTATATGTAAGAAGAAGCAAGAGTAAATTGTTTATACTATGTCTCTATGTAGATGATTTGTTGATAACAGGTAGCTGTAAAAGGGAGATCGAAGACTTCAAAGGTGATCTCAGCAAGGAATTCGAAATGTCTGATTTGGGTGAGATTTCATATTTCCTTGGTATCGAATTCTACAAGAGCAATAGAGGTTTGATGATGCATCAAAGAAGATATGCAGGAGAAATTCTCAAGAGGTTTGAGATGGAAGAATGCAACTCAACTTCGACACCTGTAGAACCAAGACTGCAACTGTCGAAAGATGCAGATGAAAATGATGTTGATCCAACCCAATACAGAAGACTTATTGGATCATTAAGATATCTTTGTCATACAAGGCCTGACTTAGCATACAGTGTAGGTATGGTAAGTAGATTTATGCAAAAGCCAAAGGTATCACATCTAGCAGCAGTGAAGAGGATACTAAGGTATCTCAAAGGAACTTTCGATTATGACATTTTGTTTCCTGCAGTTGATAAAGGAAAAGAATGCAAATTAGTGGGATACACTAATTCGAGTTGGTGTAGTGATACTGAAGATCGAAAGTCAATAGCAGGATATGTGTTTATGCTAGGTGGTGCACCAATTGCTTGGAATTCAAGAAAGGAACCAGTAGTGGCATTATCATCATGCGAAGCAGAATACATAGCTGCTTCTCTTTGTGCATGTCAAGCAACTTGGATGGTGAACTTGGTCGAAGAGATAACAGGAAAAAATATGGAGCAATTACCATGAAGATAGACAGCATGTCAGCTATTAATCTGGCAAAGAACCCAATAGCACATGGTCGAAGTAAGCACATCGAAATGAGATTCCATTATCTTCGAGAGCAGGTAGCAGATGGGAAGATGAATTTGGAACACTGCAGAACTGAGAATCAGATTGCAGACATCATGACGAAGAGAGTGCAAGTCGAAGTATTCAGAAAGCTAAGAGCCATGATGAACATAGACAGTTTAGACACAATGAATTAGGTGGTGTGTTAAATTGTAATTCATAGTGTCAAAGAAGATTTGATTTATTTTAGATTTAAATAGATTTGATTTAAGTCCAGAATAGATTTGATTTGATTTGATTTAGTAACAAAAAGATATTTTGGGCTTTGGGCTTAGGGTGTAAGCTCAGTTATAAATAGAGGGAGTAACTCCTATTTTTCAAAGTAAGTCAAGTAAGTCAATTCATTGTAATCATAGAATTTGCAGTTGCAAGTGATTAAGAAAGTTTTCCACAGTTTGTGGACAGAGAGAAACTCTGCAGAAATATTTGTCTTGTCTTCTTTTCTTTGTTTGTCTCATAATTAAATTGTCATTGTGGTAAAAATTCATCATAGAATTTGATGGATTTCCAACAAGCTGCTCTCTCCCCCAGACATAGGTCATTTGATCGAACTGGATAAATAAAAAATTTGTGTTTCTCACATTCTTTTATTTTTTTCTATCAAATTAATTCACTATATTATTGATTACTATTACAGAAGACTGTTTAATTTGGTTTTCATTGTTCTTTATTTCACACATTAAAGTTTCTTATCTGAATTTAACCTGAGATTTTCACAATAATATTTTTGCCATTGTTAGAGTATGAATTCATGATTTCTATGAATTTTAACAAAGAATAATAAGAGTGATAAGACATAAATAGAGTTAAATTGTTAAAGTCATTCACACTTTTTATTTAATATATTATCAATAAATTGTTTAAAATCTTTTAAATCTAAATTTAAAAAACGTCGTAAATGTTAAAATTGATGGAATAAAATAAAATGAGATGAAATCAAATAGTATATATTTATATTTTATTGTTTGGATTAATTATTAAAAAAAAGAATAAAATAGAGCAGAATGAGATATAGAATGGGTTTCATCCTATTCTATTAATTCTCTCATATTTTGTATCATTTAATTTAGACGAAATGACAAAATCACTTCATTTCTTCAAGAAATATCTAAAAAATGAAACGATATTTTTAATCCATTTCACTATGTTCTACTCTGTTCTGCTCCGTCCAACTATACTCCAAAATATAACTATATTAAAAATAAGGAAAAATCTAAATGGGAGCAACACAATCTTTAACAAGAATCTTGATTTTTTGCAATCAAAAATCACACATTTGACAAAAATGAAGATAGTAAATCAAATCCAAAACACAAACCTAAACTATGTACCGTTGAATTTACACACCCATACGTCCGTACCCAATCTAACACTTTCTATTCTTGGTTTAGGACAAAATCCTAAACAATATGTATGTGTTACAAAGATCACAAAGTTATCTAAATCTTGTATGTGTGAGACAACTAACAAGTGGACTTAACACTGTTTACATCATCCTATTTTGATGATGCAAAAACATATATATAGATATGGCAAAGAAGAAAAAAAAATACCAATAATCATGAATCTTATTCTTTAAAAAAGTTATGATTTTATCAGATTGAACTTAATTTACAGGTAGCCAAGTTGTTGTCAACAATACAGTACAGAATTATCAAGAATCCTCTGAATCTTATTCTTCTACTATTGTGACACACACCACCACATTGAACATCATCATCATAACCTTATAAATAACACATCAAAGAAACTGAATTTCCACACACACAAAATCATGGACACTGTCACAAGCATGGTAGGTGAAAAGCCAGTGGTGATATTCAGCAAGAGTACTTGTTGTTTGAGCCATTCTGTAACATCACTGATACGTAGCTTTGGAGCCAACCCTATTGTTTATGAGCTTGATAAGATCACAAATGGGTCGCAGATTGAGAGAGAGTTGCTTCAAATGGGGTGCAAACCAAGTGTGCCTGCTGTTTTCATAGGACAACAGTTCAGAGGTGGTTCTAAGAAAATTATGAGTCTTCATGTGAGGAATGAGTTAGTGCCTATGTTGAAAGAGGCTGGTGCTATATGGATTTGAAGAAGAGTCACGGATTAATATATAGTTACATTAATATTTAAGAGATGAATAAGATGACTTTATAGGTATAAAGTTGTTGATGTTACTTAATTAACATGATTTTGTAGTTGTTATGCTTAGTTATAAGATGATATATTATGTATAATAAAGCCTAAACTTTTTGTAGTTTATTGTTTCTTTTCTTTCATGGATCAATCCACATCAAGGCTCCTTTTGATCTCTAATCTCCCACTTTTTAATTATAAAGGTTCTCTAAGGTAAATCTAAGCACTTAAGGTATATACACATTCTTTACTAAAATTTGAATTTTGGGGTGGTACAATGTGGCTCTTATTGTTTTGTTGCAAATATTGGTGTAACCAATGCCACTTATGCCGAATTGGCGGGTGCTATGATGGCTAATTAACTTGCATCTTTTATGTGATGTTTTTTAACTCTAAATTTAATTGTTTTTCTAATGGTTTTTCTAAGTCATTCTCTAAGGATAGTTTGAGTACTCTCTATCAAATCTACTTCTCTTAGTAATGAATCCATGAATCTTCTTTCTACATGTTCAAATCATGCTCAAATGATTTAAGTATAATTTCTACCATCTTGTTTTACTATAGATGTTACTCTAACAATATTTACATTTTATGAAAAATATACATAAATAAGCAGACTATGTGTAATTAGATCATATATAGGCTGATAACAAATACGAATTAACTGAAAGTAAACTAAAGCATAAAGTTCGCAAAGCTCTACTAATCAAGATCAAATTTAAATATGTTGAAGTGCCTTAAAATCTTAAGTGGTGAAGAGAAATTGAGTATATTTTGAGATTGTAAAAACAAGAAGTCAGTCTGGAGGTCGATAAAGTTGGTGAGGTGCGGTAGTTTGACGACAACACTACATGGTGGTAAGGCGGGTCCGACCAACGATGGTCTACAACGAACCTTCAGCGAGCGGCGGTGGCGACTGGAGGGTCGAAGGCCAGCGATAGATCTCGGTGGCGGCAATCCAGGTCAAATTGGTTCTGAAGGATTATTCGGGTTCGTCAGGTATCATATATGGTTCTATTAATTTTGGTGTATCAGACTTGTTTGTTTCAGTTTGTAGATTAGTTTGTTATTGAGTTGTTTTCTAGACCCATTAAGTATCAACCGAGTTTCATCAATTATAAATATGTATCTTTGTCATTCTTGTCTTGACAACCTTTAGAACTTTAGAGTTTAAGACAAAGATAAGGGTTTGAGAATATTAGTGGTAATCTTAGAAAGGTAAGGGTAAATTACTAAGAGTGTATTCTTGAAATTTTAAAAACCCTTGGAGATATCTATTGAAGATTGAGAAACACTTCTAAACACATTGGGCTTTTGTGATTCATATATAGAAAAAGTTGGAGAGATTGAGAAACATTTGGGGTAGAAAATAGATTTGTTCTATGGAACATGAATGACTATTTTCTTGTAACTCATTTGTAATCTTTTTTATTAAATTTTGGAAGTATAGTGAATCTGAGGGTTGCTATCTCCCACAAAATGAATCATTTGATAAAAATCGGTAAACAAGTTATTATGTTTCTTGTCTTTTATCTTCTCCAGCAATGGGACCCGATTCTCCAACACTATGGTCACCGACTTCTGTAAAGATTTGGGTGTACAAACAAAATTCGTATCCTTTGTACATCCTCAAGGTAACCTAAGTCGGCGAACAAAGTAATTCTTAAAGGACTAAAGAAGAAGCTTGAGGATGCCAAGGGCTAATGGGTGGAACTACTCCCCGAGATACTATGGTCGTACCGCACCATTCAATATATCACCACCAAGGAAACTCCGCTTTCCTTGGTCTACGGAGCAGATGCCATGCTGCTTATGGAGATTGAAACACCCTTGTGGCGACGATCCCAGTTAAATGAAGAGGCGAACGAGATACGCTTAAAATGTTTAGCTGACCTGGTCGATGATGTAAGGGAAGTTTCCCACGTTCGAGAATTTGATACCAAACATAGGGCCGCTAAGAGATATATATAACTCCAAGTCAAACCAACAGAGATGCATAGGGGCGACCTAGTCTTGAAAAAAGTAGTTCTACCTGCACAATAGGGATAATGAAAACCTAAATAGGAAGGACCATATCGCATATATCAGAAGCTCCCACACCGAGTGTACAAGTTATAGGAACTATAAGGATCACTTTTTTCTGAAACGTGGAACACTCGTTACCTTAGATACTATTACAGTTAGAGTTATTTGTAATTCTATATTAACATTATGTCTATGTACCTCTAAATAATCATTAAGTGTCTTGTTCCCAACATGGGTGTTCTCTCTTGAAAAGGTTGTATGCTGGACTTCATAGCAAAGATCCTTGCCGCCCCTCAGAGCAAAATCTCCTTTACTGGACTTCATAACTAAGATCATTTCTTCCCCTTAGGGAAACATCTTCGTTATTGGACTTCATAGCAAAGATTCTTGCATCCCCTCATGGCAACATCACATTTACTAGAATTCATCACAAAGATAATTGTGGCCCCTCAGATCAACATCTCATTTGCTGGACTTGTTGCGAAGATCCTTGCTTCTCCTCATGGAAACATCTCCTTTAATGGACTTCATAACAATGATTGTTGACGCCCCTCGGGGAAACATCTCCATTGTTGGACTTCATAGCAAAGATCCTTGTCGCCCCTCAAGAAAACATTGCATTTGCTAGACTTCATAGCGAATATAATTGCATCCACTAATAGAAACATCTCCTTTGTTGAACTTTATAGAGAAGATCCTTGTCGTAACTTATAGTAAAATCTCCTTTGCGGGACTTCATACAAAGATCCTTGTCGCCCCTCAGGGCAAGATCTCCTTTTCTGGACTTTATAGCAAAGATATTTTCCGCCCCTCAGGGAAACAAATCCATTGTTGGACTTCACAGCAAAGATCCTTGTCGCCCTATAAGTGTATTTTGGGTAGTTTAAAAGAAAGTGAAAATCTCGTCTTTGCATTCCTAGCAGATGTGTTCCACACGATTCATTTCTGACATGAGAACAAGAGTGATACTATTTTATGTTGTCTTCCTTTGATTTACTCTTGTTTGACATCCCACATATTTAAAGAGGATTATTGGATTAAGGAAAATACCAACGATAAGTGGGCCCAAACCTTGGTCTCACTAACTGAAAAATATATATTTTTGTATGCAAGGAAGCTCAATGTGAATGAGATTATATTTAGTTGTGGAGGTTTTCCTAATGTACCTAAGGTAACTTGGATATCCCAACTCTGGTACTAAAGCAACTTGGATATCCTATTCTAGAGAAGCTCGAAGATGATGCTTTGAAAAAAGCTTGATATTCCATGACATGGGTACTAATGATTCGACTATGCTACAAAAGATTATCAAGGCTTGGGATAAAGTCCACACAAAAGTAAGCTAGTAAGAGAAGAAGAACTATATGGCTAAGGAGCCTTACCAAGATAAAGGAAAAGGTCAAAGAAGTCAAACTACCTTTCACCACTGAACTCCTTGCTCAACCGAAATCACCGAGCCGATTCCCATCTTCATAGAAGAGGCCGGTGAACTTAAGGAAATCATCCTTCGTCTTGAAAAAGAAAAATAGGATTTACAATCCAAATTGTATAAAACCTCTTGAGAGAACAATGAATTAAAATTGGAAGCTACTCCAAAGGATAAAACTATGGAAGGCAGCAACAAAAGGTTGTGGTATGAAGAGCATTAAGGGGATAAGGTGTGAGGACTCATAGGAGGGGAAAACTCTGAACTAAAATTGAGAAATCAAGCGCGAGATGATGCCTTGGTTAGGGTCCATAAAATGAAGATTTATGGAATAAGTCATATGCAAAGGGAAAGAAACTGAAAGAAACTGCAAGAAGAGCTTGATAGCTTAAAACGAATTCATGATGCGCCAATAAATGGGTATAAAGGTCATATCAAATAAGAAAAGAATTGAAAGGAAATAATCCTAGAGCATGGTAAGCCCATCTTGATACGCGCTACCAGAAGTTTTGAAGTTACAAGTGTTGTGTTTTTGAGTCTGCTAAGCGCGCAAAGAGCGCTTAGCATGGCTATTGTACCCCCAAATTTTCCCTCCAATTTTCACATAAGATATACTCCTAGAGGTTCTCAATTGCTCAAGGTTGACCAAGGATTTACCAGATAATTCTCCTCCTAAGACAATGAACCCCTAACTAGTGTTTGCATTTTCATCAAGATGGTTAAGCTCCAAGGATCAAAAATTTTCTCCATTGTCCTAATATTTCCTCAAGATCATCCATGCCAAAATTCATTCCTTGAACAACAAGTTTGCTCAATCAATGGCTCAAGTATTGGAAAATCAACCATGCTAGGTCAAAAATCAATTGTGGCCTATATACAGTCAAACATCAAGATTTTGGGTCAACATCAACATTTATAAGTGATATGCATCATTTGATAAAGGGTTGATCATGAATCCTAAAGAAATGCTCTTAATTCATTAGAAGTCAAGAATTGCAAATTAGGGTTTCTATACGAAAAGTCAACCAAACTTTGACCATGCATAACTTTCTAATACTCCTTCCATTTTTCCCAACCAAATATCATTTTAAAGAGAATACAATTCCCTACAACTTCTCTTCAGCCCTCAAGTCCAAGAAATGTACCATTTGAAAGATACAAGCTTATACATTACAAGTTATTTTCAGAAAGTCCACAAAAGGCACTTTTTGTCAAGACTATTTACATCAAGATAAAATCTTCAAATGAAAATTTAATCAAAAGCGGGATTGAAATAGACATCATGGGCTTTCCAAAAAGTCCAAGGTCATCATCATGAAATAAAAATTGAGAAAGTTATGACTTTCCCAAGTAGGGAAAATTTGAGAATTTTCAAGAATTATGCATTGAGAAAACTTGAAGTTTTAGGTCAATGGCTTAATTTCAAGGACTTAAACATCTTCCTAAGCCTATAAAGGATCTCTAAAATTATTCTTGCCATGCCTTGCATTTTCTAACTATTGTAT